CTGTTCAGTATTTCAGGAGTTATTTTAATAACAAAGAGTTGATTCTAACAGTTAATGTCTAAGTTTTAAACACAGATCAGATAGTGCTCAGAGTATAAGTTGTGGTTCAGATTCGGCTACTGCTAAGCTGAATTTTAGCTCAGTATCTGTAAAATTTACCAAGTTACAAACAGACTGCTTTGATATGACGCCATCTTGATTCAAGTTTAGATGTATGTCCAGAAGGTTTCGTTAAAGTTCTTCTAGTGCAGGGGTTCTCAACCTTTTCAGTCTTGTGTACCCACTGAGCCATTTTATCATACCACTAGTACCCCCTCTGTCAAACGTAATGATGACTCTCCAAAACTATAATGTACAACTGATTATTAAATGGAAATTATTTATTTAACCCTAGAACAGGGGTGCCCAAACATTTTCCCTGGCAGGGCCAAAATGTAAATGGATCTGAAGGCTGCGGGCCAAATGCAATAATATAATAGATTAAATGCAAATACTTTTTAAGTAAAGTTGTTTTATTTTTTGTGATTAAGATAGCAGTCAATATGGTGGCCCACATTTTTTGTTTGTTATTTTTTTGTTAGCCAATGGACATGCAGAAAATTTGACATATTGTACACTCGAGCACCAAAGGCTCATGGCGCTTTTCATAAATTAAAATTTGTGTATTTGGGGTCTTAGTATGCAAATCTAGATATGTGCTTAAATCTAATCTAAATGTCTTTTGTAGTTACTTGTATGTTTAATTTTTATATAATTCTATGATAAAATAAGTGCCGTGAGTTAAGACTGTAAGCCCTACAGCTCTTTATATAGTTGGACCAATAGTTGGAATGACTAAGTGGAAATAGTGTTTCTACATTAAACAGGTAAATACAACCTAGTAGCCAGGACAACTGCTGGTGGGCCAAACCAAATGACTTGGCGGGCCAATTTTGGCCCGCGGGCCCCACTTTGGGCTCCTCTGCCCTAGAAGGTTTAATTCTCAGGCCTTTTATTCATTTCAACTCAAATTAAACATAAAGATAAATACTTTGCCTTGGGAGTGAATAAGTAATTAAATAAATAAATCAGGTACAGAAAGCAAAATACATCAAATACAACAAATTTCGTGAGATTCCGGTTTTATACTGGATTCCATTTTGTGTTGTCAATTTTCGTTTGTATTTTCCACATTGTGGAAATCAAAGGACCCTACATATCTCAGTCCTATTTTTATTTATTTTATTTTTTTACAAACCTGGGAAATTTTTCCATGTACCACGTACCCCTGGTTGGGAATCACTGCTCTCGTGAATCATGAAGTTTATTTTGTCGGTACAGATGAAAAAGCNGCTCATGGCTCCGCCTTTGCAATCGGCAGCTGGAGATAAACACAACCTCCTGGTGACCTCCTCTGCAGACGGAGTCCTGCTCTCCTTGTCATGGAAAACTCAGATTGCAGAGTTACATTTACGATCAGCCTTTGACCATTCCCTGATACACAGCAGCCCCCCGGAGACCGCCATTCCACATTCACTGTTTGCAACGCTTCTCAATTACACAGCAACAGTCTCAGGCCGCGTCCCCAACCCCCCACAGGCGTCCCTGGTCTGCATGGACCAGCGTCCATCGGGTCCTTAATGAGACTGTTTCGCTTTCGCCCTGGCGAGGCACGTATCCTCCCTCCACGTGGTTGTTCTCATCATTTTCATTCCCATTTCCCATTTTTAGACTCGTCTCATTTCCTGTGTAGATGTGTCACAATAAAAAGAAAAAGCTAATTTTACCCAGATGCTGATTACTTTGTTCACAGCAAGGAAGATGTGTAAAAAATAAAAAAAAGGTTAGAAAAGGGAGAGATCAAGAGCGAGTATATTTAGATACATTTGTACCCATTTCATGCACTTATGTTACACAACAATAAGTGCTTTTTTTAACCAACGAGATGAATTCTGTGGTTTAAGAAAATGTTTCTAACCTCAAGTTCAGCAAATACATTGTAGTTTTAGAAAAAATAAAGATTTTTAATTTGCTGATTTAACTTTTAGAGCCAATCCAGTTTAAAATGACCGTCTGATGCTGTTTTTATGCTCACTAATATTACTGAACAGCTGCAAGTGAACCTAAATGCTTTTGGCATATTCGAAAGAGTTTGGGGCTTTAAACCAGTATTTTTTTATTTTCTGAGCTAAAACTGGCACTTGATGTGTTATACTTGCTTTATTATCACTTAAAGACTCTGGGGATTTTTTTTTTCAGCTAAAAACGTCCCCAAATCTAAGTTTAGTTTGTCCGATTTTTCTAACTATTGGTAGATAAGATGTTTTTCAGACTTAGAGTGACTTGTTTAAAAAAATGTACACAAAATAGAAATTAGGTAGTGAAGCGTCTAGACTGGATTACTGTAATTTTTTTATTATCTGGGCATCCAAAAAACTATTTAAGAAGCTGCTGCTAGAGTTTTAATGAGAGTTGGAAGGAGAGATCATATTTCTCCAGTTTTAGCTTCTCTCCACTGGCTCCCTGTCAAATTCAGAATTGATTTTAAAATATTACTCCTAACATACAAAGCTCTTAACAACCAAGCTCCATCATATATTAAACATCTTATTGTTCTGAAGAAATTTATAGTTATTATAGATTAGTACTGATGTTAGAAAACAACACCAGAGTTTTAGGGTTTCCTTTTTATAATATTTGTATAATGTCTGATCTATTATGTGTTAATTGAAATAGAGTAGATACATGTCCGAATCATAACACATAAGTGAACCGTTTTGAAACATTAGATTGAGGTCCTTGTCTGAATGCCTGTGATTCAGTCGTAGGTCAGTAGGGGGAGAACTCAGGCATCGAAGAATCGTGTATAAAAACATGCATTTCCTGTATTTGAGTCAGTGTGGTTTCACTTGTCAGTCCGGTGACAAATAAACCTCACTCWGATCCAGAATTCTGGTGTTGTATGACCTTATTCCTTTTACAAATCAATTTATTTAACTATTGTGTTTTAATCTGACTTCAGCCGATATTAAACACGTATTTCTTACAGTTCCATAGTTTCCTAACAAAGCACTTCACTCTCAGACTGCAGGTTTACTTGTGGTTCCTGGAGTTTCTAAAAGTAGAATGGGAGGCAGAGCTTTCAGTTATCAAGCTCCTCTCTTGTGGAACCAACTTCCAGTTTCTGTCCGTGAGGCTGACACTCTGTCTGCTTTTAAGATTAGACTGAAGACTTTCCTTTTTGATAAATCATATAATTAGACTTAGGTTTCCTGAATTATTCCTTAGTTATTATAGTTAATCAGTTCTGCTGCTGTAGGCTCAGACTGATCAACTGAGCACATGTCCTCACTCTGCTGTTGTCTTTAGTCTCTCTTCTCTACATGTTTGTTTTTATTCTATTAATAACCTGTTTTGTTTCTCTTCAGGAGGAAAATACGTCTGGACCAGTTCTTCTGTGTTTGGCTGTGCCTCTTTCCTGTCCCCCACCCCAAACCCAGCCGGTCGAGGCAGATGGACGCCTGTCCTGAGCCTGGTTCTGCTGGAGGTTTCTTCCTGTTCAAAGGGAGTTTTTCCTCTCCACTGTCACCAATGTGCTGCTCAGGATGGGAGAATGTGATGAAGCGAAGATTCGGCGCCATCTGCTGCTTCTTTAGATTTTTTTAGCACCCTGACACAACAATTGTTGTAACTTGGCGCTATATAAATAAACTGAAGTGAATTGAATTGAAGCCGGCCTTTCATAAGACTTTAAATATATGCTCTGAGAAAGTATTCTTTGTGTTTCATCCTAGACATATTATTCAGTGCTCTAAAACAAATGGTCTGTTTCCATTTTACAGCAGTGTTTTGTGGAGCGGAGCGGCCCGGCAGCCTGCAGGATTTGTGAGTCTCTGCCAGTAACGACTGAGGAGCCAGTCCATGGTGTACAGAACAAAACAAAGAGAAAATGAGCTCATAAAAAATCTCACTTTCAGCACCGCTGCTCTAAACTCATATTGGAAAAAAAAAAAAAACAACCTCATCCAGCGCATCAGGAGGGATGTGTCCCCCGACACATCAGTCGTCAAGGCAACAGGATAGTAAAGTTAAGCATATGAAATGAAGCAGAGGAAACATCATTCTGAGGGCGTGCACGTAGCAGGAGATCAATTACGACTCCAGAGGAAGAAGCAAATATTCCTGTTGGTCAGAAACATCTTTATCAGTCTGCAGTTTGTCAAACAAACAGAAAAGTGACAGAAAAGTGCTTCTGTCTGTTAGCAAAATATCTCAAGAATCACAGGAGGAATGTGGATTAAACTTCCAGAAGCAGTGACCTAAAATTTGACTCATCCTCCTTCATTAATCAACATGAACTTAGTCCAAAACTCAAAAATATCCACATCATATGCATCCCTTTAAATAATAAAAACCTCTGATTTAGAAACATATTTGTGCTTGGTTTAACCAGTGGAAACACATTATATGGTTACTTTAATCTTTTTAAATCCCAAACTACAATGCACTCTACAAAATATTTATATTTTAGTTTGTACTTTGTGTAGTTTTTTTTCTTTATTATGGGAGGAAAAGATGCTGTTTTCTTATATTATAGCTTCCAAAATCAAGATCTCAATTAATTTATTAATTCATTACCATGAAAAAACATAACATAAACATGCATCCTTTTCAAAATGGACAAGAGATTTTAAGTTGTAGTTGTGACACTGTCATATGCATTAATAATAATGTGATATTAATGTTGACTATCCCTTAGGCTTATGTCTTCACTTATTTTCATTAAAATTATACCAGCTGTATTCACGGTTTATGCAGCTAGTAAAGCTTGCACAGCTTTTAAAAAGTGTATTTTAAGTTTAATAAGTGCAGTAAAATATTCTCAGGCTGTTTATTTTTGATGAGGGCGAGTCTGTAATGGGTGTAGTCCCTAAAACACCGTCCTCCTGCCCTGAGGAGCAGCTGAGCGGACACACTGAGTGTTACACACATATAACCATTTAAAACAAGCACGAACATACCTGTGTGAGGGCTCGTTGGCAGGTGTTTCTGTTGAAAAGGTCCGCTTTTTATTCCAGCTCTACTTCCCCAGCTTTACGTTGTCCGGCGGCTGTTAAACTTAACTTACAGCGATGAAACTGAGAAAAACTGAGGGGAAATCGATACTTTAGCGACTTTGACCCCTTGTTCAAGAGATAAAACACCCAAAAAAGGCGATGTTTTGTCACAAATGAGCCAATTACCGCCTTTGAAGCGAGGTTTGTGCTGCGAGAAGTGGTTTTATCATTTAGTGGAAGATGTGGCTCAGAGCTCGGTTTTCATCCGGCGCGACCAACTCCTCCCCGAAAGGGGCGTTCGTCTTTCAAAGAACCATTAAATCCACTTTTCTAGCCAGTAAACCTCAGCTGGTCGTTTATATTATGTCCAAATGTCTAATTAAATAATCTTGCATTTGAAAATGTATTTTATAACGAATATAGTTTTTGGTTTACACGTCAACATCCCCCCCCACTTACTGAATGGTTTCGTCCACGCTCGCTTCCACCGCTCGAGAAAACAGACTTCACCTCTTTTCTGTGGAAAATATCGTTGAGGACTATTAATAGAGCAAGATTTAAAATAAACCTGTTCAAATTTAAGTGGCAATCGTGAAAAAAAGAACATAAAGGCGCTAAAACCCGTTTTAAACTAAAAATAAAATCACCCCACCCCCCAATTTTATTATAACCTTTAATAACCCTGATCACATAGGCTTTATTTTCTTAATTTTCTCTGATTGTCTTTGATTTGTTAACATCTTGCAAAATTTGTTAGTGCTCATCGATCTCTGCTACTAACACCACATTTTAGGCCAATATCTTTAAAATTCACTAAATTATAGCCAATTTTTGTCTATTTTTTTTAGGTTGCTTCTTTGTTAATCAGCAGTAAATACACATCCGGGGATTATTTTCTGCAAGTTTCATCCAGTACTTCATGAGATATTTTGGTAATGTGGGCAAAAACATTAGGCTGGTTCACCCCAAAGATCCGGTGCCACGGCACAAACAGAGCAATATTGTATATGCTGTTAAGTGCCAGGAGGACTGCGACCAGTTATACATCGGGGAAACAAAGCA